TTTTATTGTATCTGTGTTAGTCCCTTAATGCAGGAGCGTCGAATTAAAGCCACCAGGATTCAGTTATTGTAGAAATATGATTAGACTTGTGATGGTCTGGTGTTGTTATTTATTGTTTTTATGTAATGTATAATGATCACAGTTAACTGGTAACGTTGGGTCACGTGCACATAGTTGCCGATAACTTATAGTAAAGATAAAGACCAGCTCACCTGCATGTGTTGTGTGGGGACCTTAAAAAATAAATTCAGTTTTGTTTATTATAATTATTTCATAGATTACCTTGACGCGGTGGATTTTAGCTAATCTCTTTGTTAAAGTAGCCCCAGTTGGGGCTACTGTAAAAAACATGGCGGCCTCCGTGGAGAGAACCTGCTCCCAATGTAAATATAGACTGTTTAAATATAAAGAGCCCATTCTAGGATATAGAAAACAACCAATTGTACAATTCAGATAAAACATGAAAACTTCCCACTAGGATTATTTTAGATTCAGTTTCTGCCAATAGATCCCTTTCATGTAAATCTAACACAGTGGACCTTTTGATGTTTCACGTAACTCAGGCCTGACCTCATCATTGCATCTTCTCATATCTAAGCTGTGTTATTTGCATCGCTGTAACTATATGTGTCTTGCTCTTACTCTGAACCTTCTCCATGTGCACAGTAACACCAGCGACTCTCAAAATGGATCTCGAAGACGACACCACAGTGTTAACAACTTTGAAGTCCTTCAATTCCTTCATCAGCTGCCCTGAACATCCCCAGAGGCTGTCAGATCACTCAGCGGGGAACGGGATCCTGCAGAGTCAGTACAAACGCAGCATGGAGGTATACCAAAACTGACAGCATCATCAGTAAGCCGTGTGGAGGCAGTATTAACATTCAACCTCTGCACTGACTGACTTCTCTTGCCTTGCAGCTTTTGGAAGCGGCAGACAGGGTTCACACGAAGAATCGCTACCTTCAGTTGGACCAGGAGAAGAAGCAGATGGAGCTGAGTCACAAGCGAGCTCGATTTGAACTGGAGAAGGCTGCTTCTGACAGCGCACGAGACCATGAGGTACAGGTCACACATCCTTACATGATCATATAAGACCAATGCATATAGAGCGAATTAGTATACAGGATCTCACATGGCAGGGTTTCCCACAGGTTCTTAAAAAAATCAAAAAACGAAGTCTAAAATGTGACATGGATTTTAAGCCTTAGAGTATTAGTATTAGTATTAGATCTTGAATATGTATAGGAAGGTCTTCATTATGTTAATGGTCATTTAATATTACTTCCACTGTGGTTTAGAATCAGTTTCTTCTTTTTAAGTGAGGTTTTCTTTGCATGGCTGGTAATATCTTCATGTGGGAAGGCTTGCGGATGCCTACTGTCTCTGCTTGTAGTCTTAGAGACAGCATTCTGGGTTATTTCACAATATCTTCAGTAATAGGAAAGTGTACGAGATTCTAGGACTCAGATTTTTCATCATATCTGTCATACTTGACATAGGTCTTAGATTTATTATGGTCTTAAATTGTCTTATAAAAGTCTTATATTTGACTTCTCTAACTCTTATGTTAAAGCATGAGGTTGACCGGAACCAGGACCTCTTGGGACGAATTAAGAAGTTGGAGGAAAGAGAGATTGGGGCAGCGAAGAACCTATCAGAGCAAGTGGAAGCAAATCGTTCTGTTCGTAAGAACCTGGAGGGTCTGAACAAGAAACTGGAGGAGCGAGATTCTAGACTTAACAGTGCTAACCAGGTACACACATGGACAGACTCACACATACACTTTGCTACTTTGGTCACGTCTCTTATCTTATGTCGACTCACTTCTGTAATCTTTTCCCAGGCCATCAGTTCTTTGAAGGATGAGATCAGAGAGCTGAAGCAGAAGATTCAAAACAAAGACTCAACAATTTCTTCTCAAACCCTGGAAAACCAGGAACTTCAAGAACAGCTAGATTTACAACGCAGGTAAAGACACATAGAGAGACGACCCCTCACCAAGCTTTGTTTCATGCCAGTGCTCAGTGAGCTGCACTGGATAAGATTAATATTGACCAAACACTTGTATCTGATTGCTTCTATAATCAGGAAGTATCAGGAAGTCTCTCAGCTTTGCCAAAGTCTCCAGGCTGCCGAGTCGTCTTGCTCAGAGCACATCATCAAGATTAAGGTACAGAGTGACACATGAGTGCTTCCCCTGTGATGGGGTTGTAGAAGCATAGCATGTTTGAAAGTGTTTTTCTTTTTATCGGCACACCCGGGGGGGTTCTGTGTGCCTGTCTTGTATGTGCTCTGTGCACAGAATATACATGACCTGTATATTTTGGACAAGTTCCTGATTTCTCTCTTCGCTTGTGGCAGGAGCTGGAGAGACGTCTCACCTTCCAGGAGCAAGACATTGCGATTGTGAAGACTGTAAAGCTGGAGGTGGCCAGACTTCCAGACCTGGAGAAAGAGTTGAAGCGCCTCAGAGAAGATAATGCCTTTCTCAGGTTGAATCCATGTTTAAGTCTTTAATGCCTTCCCAAAAGAGTAGAATACAAAGACAACAGTTTTAAATGGCTGCAGGCTACTGCAATCCTCCAGTGCTCAAAAAGTTTGACTCTAACTTCTTGACATTTCCTTGTGGTTTAGGATGAATGTTTTGACCGTGCGTATAAAAGCACTGTGAAAAGATGACAAAGAAGAGTATGGAAGAAACAATATGACAGATCCAATGCAGAATTACAACTAAGGTTTTTTAATCATTCAGATGAATAAGAGGTGATAAAACACTAATTTCCTCTGTGACCTTGATCACTGAAGGACATTTGATCTGTCTTTAGAGAGATAGAGTGATCATCTTAATGCAATATATTTTCTTCCAGATGTGCATAGATACAGTCACTGTGATCTCACTTCATCCTGAAATCATATCGGGAATCACAAGCACTCGATTCCTACATCTGACACTGAATCCCAAACTTTGAAGTCAGTTTTGTCTCTGGTGTGTTTGCTCTGAAGGGAGAGCAGAGAGAACTGCAGCCTACTGAAAGAGGAGGTGGAGGGGCTGAGGAGGAAGCTGGAGAGGATGGAGAAAACTAAAGAAGAGCTGGTCAATGTGGAACTGGAGAAAGAGGTAAGCTGTGTGTGGCTGTGCACTTCACTTTGTACCCATAAACTTGTGCTCCAGAATTGTATACTTTACATAGTTATAGGTTATATGATGATATTTGCTGACTCTTTTGTTCATATTAGCAGTGTCTTCAAAGGTTAAGGTTATATTTTGTATTTTTTATTGACCTTTTTTAATTTTAGTTTGAACTATTTTTGCTGTGTGATATCATGTAAACTGATGTTTCATTCCGTTCTTAGCGACTGACTGAGAAGCTTCAAGCCTGGGAAAACCTGGGGCAGTCTACTGGGCTCAACATAAGGTGGGACATCATATGTCTGAGTGAGTGACTGTAAGAGAGGTGGCCACTAGGTGGCGCTGTGGCCACATCAAATGGATGTGTGTCATCTCTGCGGAATGAATCCACCAGCGTGTGTAAGTGTGTGTGTCTGTTTTATACCTGCTAGTGTGTGCGCTGAGTGTGTCTCAAAGCATCCAGCCAAAAGTAATGAGAGAATGATTGCATGTTTCCTCGTGAGCAGTGGAGCAGATTATAAAAACTGCAGCCTTGTCCAGTCCATGCATGCATTCTCTTACACACACACATCATTATCTCTATGATGTGTGTGTGGGGGGTGGGGGTGGGTTTGTTTAAAATGTGTTTGACTCCCCTACAAGAGAAAGAGAAGAGAAAGGTAGACACTACTCTGTAAATTATGGAATAAAATCAAATCTCCCCTCATGCAAGGCTTCGTTTTAGTCTTATGTAATGCGTTATGAGACCTGACAGCATTTGTTGAATTTTCAGTTATCAAAAGACCTGAGAGGATCAAAGACACCCTAATACTAACCTTTTATATAGTATAATAAATGAGTGGGGCTGTCCATCATTCCTCTGGAAATTTCCGTCTGACGAGGCTGTCGTTCTGGGTAGATTGAGTTGAAATTTGAAATCATTGTTAAATGTCAGGTGGTGAGACTGCCGTGTCATTGGCTGGTGAGAGCTAGTTATTCAGGAAAGAGAAACTGGTGCATTTAAAACAAGCAGCTTTATGTGTGATGGCCATAATGATTGAAAGTAAAGGCCAATGCAAGGTTAATTAACATCTAGAAAGTCGTTAAAGGTGTTTTTACTTGATTTAAATCATTTTCTCAAAGACATAATAAGGAACAATGAATTAAAATGTATAAAATACACTAGACCTATGATGTATATATATTGTTGACTTGTGTAAGTGCGTCGTCCAAAATCTGTCCAACAATGTTCAAACAGAGAAATCGCCAATTTTATTCAAGGTAACGTGATGTTTCATTTCACCTTTTAATTGCTTCATATCTGCTTTACCCTTGACTTTGACCATATCTGTTATAACGTTGGCAAATGATGTGTGATGAAGAAAAACACACTTAACCAGTTTCCCCTCCACTGCTTGTTTTGGCCACTGGTAATGGATCAAGATTATTCAACTTAAATATATTTCTCTTACGTGAACGTCGTTTCCGCCTAAATCACGTCGGGTATTTTTCATCTATAATGGTCGTGAAGACAACTCCCACAATCCCACGCAGATTCATAATGTCATCTAACTAGGAGTGAGCACAACTGCCGAAGTAACGTATTGTACATTGAATTATTAGGTGGTTGTTTCATTTCCTGACAGGTTAGTGTGACGTAGAGTCTCACAGAAGGTAACTGCAACTTCATCATACTTTACTTTTGATTACATTTTCATGGATTACCTTTTTCTATAGCTTACCATTTTGTGGTGGTCATTAGTGTTATTAGAGAAAAGAATATCTGTAGTGAAGCAGTTGTGAATGAGGTGGAAACACACGGTGCTATAGTTGAGGAGTTAGATGCTGTGTTGACAGAGGAAAATAACTTTTGGACAGAAGTTTACCCCGTCCAACAACAATCAACGTGGCTCCCTGGTGGAGCAGACATGCCTCACAGCCGCAGCTTGGGTTTGCCAGCAGTTGGCTGGTTGCTGGTGTTTGTTTCCTTTCCTTCTGTTTCACAGTCTGATAACATTGTGCTTGCTTATGTGTGTACCCATGTGGTTGACAATTGAAATTGGTCAAAAACAGAATGAAAATATTTTCTTAAAATTAAGCTGTTGTGTGGAACAATGTTGGAGGGACAATATGTGGAGAGATTTTCTGGGAAAGTGTTTCCTTCTCACAAATGTTTTCACCAGCTAAAGGAAATCAGACGGTTTGGTACATTTGTGAGTTCATCTCTGCTGGAGGAATAGTTTTAATGCAAAGATGGTTGCTAATTAGGATCCTACCAGCAAGTTCATGCAGTGAAAAACAGTTTAAGTTGTTAATGTGTATGTTTGTGTGTTTTGATGTTGTCACTATGAGACTTTCTGGCTTTTTTTCAGTTTTCCCTAATCAGCTCCCACATTCCCTTAATTAATACAACAACTAGTATTTAAAAAAAAAAAAACATGGTATGTATATTATATTTTAATAATTTATCTTTTATTAAAATATCTGGTCCAGATGAAGGCACTGAAATGAAACAAGTATAATGTCGGATTACACAAAAAACAGACTAAATCCAAGAACAGTACGAGAATCAATGGCAACAAGAATTCTGGGTTTTAAAAAACACTTTGGGATTATGTTTGGTACAATCGATAAAATAATCAACAACGATTAACATATTAGTAGATAATAATTATCCTTTCAGCCGAAGTGTATCCATGAGTAATGTTTATTGAAAGTGCTGTTATGAGTTGTGCCCTTCCACCCCAACAAAAAATGATCTCTAATTTACAATATCCGCCTAGTATGTGATTTACTTGATGTATAAACATTAACATTATATCTAACAAGATGTTTTTGGACCTTTAAATGGAAAAAAATTTCCAGCAGCAGCAGGAGTTGGGGTTCGTCTGTCGGTTTCTCAGGCGTCTGATTACAAATCTTTTCCAGATTTGAACCAACAACAGTTTAACAAGACTCTGGAGTAAACTGCTGTTGGAACCACTTCCCTCTGCTCACTTAAGTACGTGCTCTGAACTAGACTCTCAGTAGCGGTGCACTGCCCTGACAGCCTATTTACTCTACACAGCACCACACCTTGTAGTTGTTAAAGATATCTCACCAAATAATAAACACAACCCGTTATTTACAACACCAGCCAACAGAGATGTCTGTTTCATGGTCTGTGCCAAAAAAATAGCACAAAAAACAGCAGAACACAGAAAAAGCAGCCTCTCGTATAAGCTAAGGAGAAGGCTAATCCCTCTGTGCTCAGGGCAATGTGGAATTACCTACTTTAGCTACCGTAGTTATTCCATCCTATGATTCATGAAGTCATATTTTAATCATGAGATTATTTCCACACTCAAGGCTCCACCTAGCGAAACGGAAGTGGTGATAAATCCACGCCACCCAAATTTCTCACGGCACTCTCTGGTTTTCCAACCCTGATGTTAACCTTGACTGCTCAGCCTATTCCTCCCCTATACCTAATATGTCATATGAGTCAGCAAACTGCAGAATGTTGGAGCAAAGCACCAGGTCAGCTCTCAGGACACCACTGACTGTCTCTGACTGAAAGCTGAAGTTTGATCAGATGCTTCATTTATTTACTTTCATACATACTTTTTTTTCACTTGTTGCAATAACTTCATCACGTCGAAATGCATCATTTTTACGTCCACGGAGGATGTCACCCCTCTCCGTACGCTCGTTTGTTTTTCAGCAGCATTACACACGGATACAGACAGATTTTCAATGAAACTCTGAGGAAGGACATTTTGCTGCACTTTCTTATCTTTTTTTATTTCTCACATGCGAGAGGCCATCTTTGACATTTTCAAGAATTTTACATGGCAATTATTCATGGTTCTTGATGGAAAAAATCCAACATTAGTTGCAGATAACAGACATGTCTGTTTCTTTCAGTGTAGCTTTATTCTCATTTGTGTGTTTTTATGCTGTGAATAAATGGCATTCTCGGTAATTATAATTTGGCTTGTGTTTTTAGCAACCTATCATTCTTCTGCAGTAGAGATCATGGTTGATCTGCATTTTTATGTCGGTGCAGCTATGAGGCCGGGTTGAATTTAAGGGGACTGTTGGGCCTTGGTGGAGCAACATGCTCTACTGGGTGCCCTTCTAGTTTAGATGTGGCAGCAAAAATTTGAATTTAGCTGGTAAATTGACTGCATTGCATCTATGAGCGCTTTACAAAGTAAGTCACATTCAGCCATTCACACACACTTTCATGCTTCTATATATGACTCTCCATCAGCATGCATCCTGCAGCAGACAGTCGTGTGCTTCAGTTCCTCACCTAAGCACACTTGACGTGCAGACTGTAGAAGCGGGGGACTAAACGAGAGCTTAACTCATCCCTGTTTCTCAATACATGAGGGGAAAGCTGCAGCTTTTTGGGTCCCACAGGTCCACACAGGATTGAGTGTTTGCCGTTCATGCTGTGCATCTCTGTCAAGAGTATGTGACCCTGTGCGCAGCCGCCTTCCCATTGTGTTCTTGTGTGTTCGTATGTTTTGTAATCTTTCAATCTCTCCCATGGAGTGAGTTTGTTTTATATAACTGTGACCAGTATTTAGCCCATTTTCCTCCCTTCATCTCTCCCTTTGCTGTTCATGTTATTTTATTTCCCAGCTCCCCACTGGCCAACTAACAAAAGAATATGGAAAGGCTGTCATTTTCTGTTCTCTGTCCTCTCTGCTTTCTCTGATATATTGATTTTTTCATTGTGTGTGTGTCTGTGTGTATTTTCACACATGTATATACTAACTCTTCTGTGTTGTGTCTGTCTGTAGGAAACCAGATGATCTGTCCAGGGAGGTGATTCAGATCCAGCAGAGAGAAATTGCTCTGAAAGAGCAGAACTACACACTCAACAGCCGGTAAAACACACACACACACACACACACACACACACACACACACACTCTTCCTCTCTCTGCCTTCAACACTTTTCCTCTAATTCTGTGTGCCTGCATGCTTCTTTCCCCCCATATATCTATTGGAGCGTATCTCTGAGAAGTCCTTAATTGTCACAAAGTTAATTAAACTGGTCCTGATTCTGATAGCACTCCTGACAGTAACCACTGGTGTGTGAGTATATGTGTGTGTGTATGTGAGAGATTCTGACTGAAAGTGACGGAATTCGCTAATTAAACTTGTCCTGTTTAGGAAGAGGTGACGTCTGTAGGGAGATCTGCACGCATGCTCTCGTATATTCTTGCTGCAGCTAAGGAAGCTTTCATTAGCTAACAAGCGTCTCTTTTCTGCTGAGCGTATTGAGCTCATTATGAAATATTAGAAACAGCAGAATGGGAGACGGGTGGGTATCGGAGAGGATGGAGAAGGGAGCTTGTGCTGTAATTATTCTCCCCTGGTATAATTATTGTCCTATTGATCAGACTTGGCAAAATCACTGCTGCAAATAATTTCTGAACACTTAGTGTAGGAATTATTTGGTTTTAGGAAGGTAACTTGTCTGTTGTGGAGTATTATTCAAAATGTGCATTGCTTTTCACAGATCGTCTGAACATAAAAGCACGAATCAGCCTCTTCGCTCCCTCGTTATGAATCTGCACACACACGCTCAATCTCTTGCTTTCCACCATAGACAGTATATACATATGAACCACATCATCATGCATTCCTCTTGGGAGCTGTCATGTTGTCCATATTTATATACAGTCTATGTTTTCACACAATCATTTATCCCGGTCTGTCAGTGTGAGGAGTGTGGAGCGCTCGCAGGCGGAGCTGCGTGCAGAGCTGTCCCAGCAGCGCAGCAAGACTCTGGAGGAGCAGAAGAAGAGGGAGACACAGGAAGCTCTGGTCCGTCGGCTACAGAAGAGAATCTTGTTACTTACAAAGGTACCTGACCATCAAACACACTCTCACAAAAACAAACACATCAACAACCGCTCACACGGTCCCTTCACGACACAACCTTTTAAAATGTGTACTTTAAACACTCCGCCAGACTCTCAAATCTCAAGGCCAGTACAGAATTAATGATCTCCCCTTTACCCCTCTGTGATTGGTTGATGAATGTCATGTGACTGCTGTAGCTGTCTGTCTTGCCCACCCCACACCACCCCCCTACCCCCCGCCGCTGTGCAGTTCTTGACTAGACATCCCTGCGATTATTGATTGTGTGTAATTCCCTAGGTCAACATGCTCAGTCTCTTGGTCCACAAATCACACGTGAACACACACACACACTCACTCAGCCACCACTATAAGTACAGCTAAAGGCATGCTGCAAATATGACTTGGCCCGGGATGGCTTTGGCAGAGGCTGCATTCAACCATTTGCACTTTACCAGGCAGTCAGAGTGTGTGAACAATTGTTGTTTGTATTATCCAGTTTTTTAAGAATGATCCATTTCAGTTGTTTAGGAATAATCTGCTTTTTGAAACATTGTCTTGAGTTTGCTCAGGGACGGTTTATTGAGCATCTTGTTTCTCACCGGCCACACATTCGTAAAGTTATATTAAGCTAAATGAATATAGTTGAATACACTAATGCCTCCCAACCAACCATTGCTGCAGCTGCCCGAGTATGTTTTGTCTTTTATTTATCATTTCTATTTTGCTCCTTTTGTATATTCCTAAGAAAACTACAGCAAACTAATGGAATATATATTGCAGAGCCACAACCAGTCACTTTTACAATTTATTATTATTATATGCCTAATGTACTGGCTATCAATAGCGTTTCCTTCTGACTAAATCAAAAATAAAAGCTATGCAATAACAAAAAATGAATTGATTTGGTATAATGCTTAACGGGAAGTAAAATGGAAGAAAGTAAAATGGCACTCAGTGGAGCGCATTTCTCCACCAAGGCACTCCCCCAGCATACCCCTTATAAAACCACTTTAAAGGCTTTATTTGGATCTACACCAAATTGTAAACACTCATAAATATCAGTCTCTTAAACCTGCCAGATTTTTTTTCCCCATCAAGATCCATGGATTATTGTCTGAGAAAATCTTGTAATTTTAAAGATCGCCCCCGATCCAATCTGAACCAAACTTTAATGGTTGCTTCACTGATTGCATCCTAGACGTGCTTAAACACAAAAATGGGATACTTCAAAATCCAATAAACACAGGGATACTAGAGAGCCACAGAGGAGGGATCCCTCTCCCAGGACGGACAGACGTGCAATGGAT